TCATACTGACTATTAAATCGTGTCATTCAATTCAGTTTTTTATGGGCTTTAAAATGAGGTGTCGCGGAAGTTGTAAACTGCTGTCGATCTTGCTGTGACCCCCTAGGAAAAGGTTATGCCCCGCCCTGTATAACTCTAAGCTATTGTGCTGCCTTAGAATCTTTCCCCAGTGCTCAACCTGGCCCATCTCAAAACCATTTGAACTTCTGGTTCCGTACTCATTGCAACTGCTCTCTTGGAAAACTACTTTCCTTACTGATTCAGGACACTTATCAATGAACTTTGTGTATTCTTCTGAGAGCCCTTACTTAGTTTTCTAAGGTCAGTTATTGGTGAATTCACAGATAGTTAGTAAAAGAATTGGAATTATGGGTTAGTAATCAGTAACTTTAAAAGCGATGTAACAAAGTACTTTCTCAGTTTATGTGCTGTTTTTACATTAGAAATAGAAGTTCAATGAAATATGCTAAGTTTTATTTAGTTTACAAAATTACAATGGCATTGATCATATTAATTGACTTTCGTATAATCATTTTGTTTGCTTTTTTCCCTTAAAAAAGCCCGTGATTCATTATTTGGTGAAATGGTGTTCACTTCCATATGAAGACAGCACATGGGAATTAAAGAAAGACATAGATCAAGCTAAGATTGAGGAATATGAGAAACTAGTGGCTAGGGAGCCAGAAACAGAACGTGTGGTAAGATTTAGCTTTCTATTGAAAATGTTTCTTAATAGTAGCTTAATAATGTGGATTGTGGAAACCACTAATATGATTTGCTGCATTTGATATAGGAGCGACCTCCTGCTGATGACTGGAAGAAATCAGAATGTTCCAGAGAATATAAAAACAACAACAAACTCAGGGAATACCAGTTGGAAGGAGTAAACTGGCTTCTTTTCAACTGGTACAACACGTATGTATCATGCATTCATTGTAAAACAGTATAGTTTGACTGTTCAAATTTAATATCCCTGAATAGTTTAAAATACAGGATGTTTTAATGATCTTAATTAGTAAAATAACAACTTCTGTGACTATATTATCTGTCGCTCCTCCACTCACCCCGGCTACACGCACACGCACACTTTTTCTTTGCATGAATTTGTATTAAATCTTGAAGTGGTTTTTTCCCCCCTGTTTTAATAAGGATGTTTGAGTTGACATTATTTAATTCTTAAAAGTAAATGTCCTCATGATACTTAAGATTCTTACAGTCAAATAAATAAGGAAGTGTGTTTTGTAAATCTCATTTGAGGAGCTGAATTATAATTTCAGAACTGAACAATTTATTCATTGCAGACGCAACTGCATTTTAGCAGATGAAATGGGATTGGGAAAAACTATCCAGTCCATTACATTTCTCTATGAGATATATTTAAAAGGAATCCATGGTCCATTTTTGGTTATTGCCCCATTGTCTACAATCCCCAATTGGGAAAGAGAATTCCGTACCTGGACAGAGTTGAACGTTGTTGTGTATCATGGGAGCCAAGCCAGTCGAAGGATGATTCAGACATATGAAATGTACTTCAAAGACCCACAGGTAAATGTTATTAGTATAACAAAAGATGACTTCAAATAACTATTTCTCCTTGTTGGTTATTGTCCTTCATTGTTTCAAAATTTAAAGTCAGGATTGGAAAAGGGGTTGCCAAAGGGAAATGTTTTCATTAAATTTTGCACACATAAATATTACTCTATTAAGTTTTTTCTAAATCAGGAGATTAAAAACAGTACAATATAGCTTTTCCACTGTGATTAAACAAAACTAAGAATGATTTATTTCCATCATATTAAAAAATCTGGAAGAGTCTTGTAGCACTTTTTCCAACCAACACATTTTATTATAAAGCATAAGCTTTTGGTGCAGTTCTCTTCATCGGGATACAATAATATTTTTAATATTCATATTTATCATCCTAATATTTTAATGTTTTACTTTGATGTTTTTACTCCATAAGCCACTGAGTTGCCTCTAGGCTAACAGGATGGCATATAAATGTAATAAATAAAATAAAAGTAACAAAAAATCAGGTGAGTGGAGTGTTGAGAAGGCAGATTTTTTATGCAGATCCAAGTTATTAATATGGCTCTCTTCCCACATTGTCACATTATCAGTATTCCATAGAACATTTGATACTGTTGGTAACATTTGCACAATGTTATTGTAGCTTTCAACTTCCAAAGTAAATTCTTTGGGTTTAAGATGTTTAGGTTTAAGAACAGGATTTAGGTATTATTGACAATTCTATCATCATTAGTCAGTGTTTTTTTTTTGAAAGAAAGCATTTGAATCATGCATAAGGTTGTTTTAACAGTATATAATAATTACATAATATTCTCTATGCTTTTAGGGTCGTGCAATTAAAGGATCATACAGATTTCATGCCATCATTACAACATTTGAAATGATTTTGACTGATTGTCCTGAGCTCCGTAACATTCCATGGCGATGTGTGATCATTGATGAAGCTCACAGGCTGAAGAACAGAAATTGTAAGCTGCTAGAAGGGCTCAAAATGATGGACCTGGTGGGTATTGATACTCTTAAATCTCAGCAAAAAGTCTTTTAATTTTGTCCATTTGAATTCCAGTTTTGTTAACATTCTTGTCATTACAATTTTTCTGCTTAAGAGAATGCTATGAAACACAATTCATTTGCACACTTTAAACAATCCACTGATAATATCTAAAATACGGTAGGAAAAAAATGAACATGAAAGAGATTGAAATCTTATCTTGTAGTAGAGATGGGTAGCATAAAAATTTAATTAATAAATAAAAATATAAAATAAATTGAATAAATTTTTTCACTGTCTTATTTTTTTCAGGAACACAAGGTGCTTCTAACAGGGACTCCTTTGCAAAATACTGTAGAAGAGCTTTTTAGCTTGCTCCATTTCTTGGAACCAAGTCGTTTTCCTTCAGAAACCACTTTCATGCAAGAATTCGGTGATCTAAAAACTGAGGAACAGGTAAAATATTTCTTTCCAATTATAATAGTCACGAATTTTGAAAAATTCTCCAGAGTAACATTTTTGTTTTTATTGGAACCAAACTATTATACTTATAGGAGGTTTTCAGTTTATTATTGTCAAAATTAATTTAAACTTTTTAAAAAATATATTTGTAATTTTTAAAGAGATCCTGTGTAAATGTAAACTATATAGCGAACTTTACTGGAATATACAAGCCAGCCTATTATTATTTAAAATGTATTAATATTTATAGTGATACTTAAAACACAAAGCAAAATAATACCAAGTATTTAAAAGCAAAACAATTTTTAAAAAACATTTAAAGCATTTAAAACATTTGAACAATGTCAGCTAGGAATTTAGCTGTTAATTCAGTACATCTGGAGATTATTACATCGAATAAACCTGATAAATAGGCTTTTTAAATGAAGTATGCAAAATATTACCAATATTTTAGCTCATACAATAACAATATAAAATGTTATATCTCATTGTAGAAGAAAGAGAATATATTGTTTGATAAATATAGTACAAGCTACAAGGATTTGGCTGTACTATTGTATCACATGGGTCTTTTTATTTACTATAATTTAATTATTCAATTATTGGCATGATTAAATCTCATACAATTAAGACTTCTTTAGTCATGTAATATCTCCAGTGCATGTTAATTGCTCTGAATGTTTGAATTACAGTTCTATGTTAGTTACTACAATCTTTTAGTACATGTTAATATAGTAAACAATCTGTTTAACAGATCTCTTTTTTCCAGACCTGGTATAAACAAGACAAATGTTCAGTTCAGACTTCATTCCATTAACAGGATAATGTGCATTACATCAAGCATGTTTCTATTAAATTGGGGTTTTACTGCAAATGTCACCAGTCATGTTAATTATGTAATTATGCAAATGATGTAAATTCTGATTTAATGGATATTTGGATTTAACAGAAACTCATTTCCCCAAATCATCTGTTAAATAGAGCATTTACTGTAATGAAGTTATTCCTACCATAATAAAGTTATCCTGTAAACACTGTTGATGAATGATAATAGTATTTATGGAAATAATTTTATTTTTCCAAAAATTGCAGCATAATATAAAATTATGGAAAGATGTACATATTATATAAGGACATTTATAATAGGAATTGAAAATTGTAATATAAACATTTATTTTATCAGGTTCAGAAACTTCAAGCAATTTTAAAACCAATGATGTTGAGACGACTGAAAGAAGATGTGGAGAAGAACCTGGCACCCAAGGAAGAAACTATTATTGAAGTTGAATTGACAAACATTCAGAAAAAATACTACAGAGCTATTCTTGAAAAGAATTTCGCATTTTTGTCAAAAGGAGGTGGTCAAGCAAATGTCCCTAATCTGTTAAACACTATGATGGAACTGAGAAAATGTTGCAACCATCCATACCTTATAAATGGTATGCTGGTTTTCTCTTATTTTATAAAAACTTTGTGTAAGGACTATAATTATCTATGTATTATGGCCACCCATCTCATTTGCATATGAATTTTGGTAGCTTACACAGTTAAAACAATTACCTAACAATCTACATTATTTACAGGCTTCAATTTTAAAAGAAATTTTATTTTTGAGGAGAATGTAAATCTCCAAATGCCAGGTTTAACTACATACCAACTTACTTGAAAGATTGCATCAATGCCTTACGACAATAATCAACTTCCTTTCTTGTATCTTCAAGCCAAGTGTCATTATTTTCATCGAAGAAATGATTTCCTAATTACTTTTAAAAGCATTTGTTGTTGTCACCAATAGGCTTATACTACAATAAATTTAGAACTGCCTAAATACATCAGACATGGGAACTGTATCACATAATAAAAAATCATATCAGCTTGTTAATATAGATAATCATGGTTCATTCAATAATAAAAGAATGAAGTTTCTGATATATCAAAATGTAATTTTGTCTAAACCAAAATAGTTCTATATCTGTGATGGCGAAGCTGTGACACGTGTGCCACAGGTGGCATGCAGAGCCCTCTCTGCGGGCACACGAGCCATCACCCCAGCTCAGCTCCACCGTGCATGCATGTGTGCCTCCCACTGGCCAGCTGATTTCCGGTCCCTGTCATGCATGCATGGTGGGTGGGGCGCATGCAGAACATGCATTCATGGGGTTGGGAGACGTGTGTGCATGCATGCGGGAGGGGGAGCATGGAAGGGTGTGATCTGCCTGCCCCAGCGGCCAGTTTTTGGTCCCAGGAGGCTGCAGGCAGGCCTACTAGGCCCAAAACAAGTGGGGTGGGTGTTGCACATGCATGTGCAGGGGGCGGATCCCAGGGATGTTGTGCATGCATTGCATTATGGGTGCGGACGCATGAGGGCATGTGATGACCAAAAGGTTAGCCATTTCTGTTCTATGCAATATAATAGTGATTAGAAATAATAATCTAAAAATAAGTATGCATTTCTGCTTTCCGCTGTTGATGTGGATTTTTCCTTTCTGTTGTCGTGTGTAACACACTATTTTAAGATATATAATGGAATCTAATGCTTCATTCACAAATGTTACTGCTATATGATACTTCTTATTTCCTATATTAAATTACTTGTATTACTTGTTTTTCATTTATAGGATGTGGGTGTCATTATGTTCTTGTTTTCAGTAATTTAAGATAAAACTAAATTACAAGAAAAACAAATCAGCCATATTTTAAGTTAGCAAACACCCTTGTAATAATGATTTTAAGATGTCCTAATTTTTTTTAAAAAAATATAATGCTCTCCCATATGATCAAATCTTCCAGATTCTGACAATACCAATGCAATAATTCATATTTAATGAAGTGGTGGAGGATCCATACATTGCTGTGTGTGGCCCTTATTTTGTTAGTTTTCGTCTATAATCTTTTTTATTGGGACTTTTTTACTGTGATTATGATCGACAGTTAATTTATTTTGCCACAAAGTAGTCTTTACCTGGTAAATAATGAAGTCATTCAATTTTAAGATGTGTTTCATACTAGAATTCAGTTAATGTAACCTATAGTTTTGATGGTTAGTAACAGTATGTAAAACACTTTCTGAAAAAAATGGTTTTGTCATTATGTTCTCTGTTCGCTGTTATATATATTGTACTTAATGTTCTTAATTTGCTAATTAATTATTCAGTCACTCACTGCTCCCTAATTTGTTATGACTTCTGGCTTGGCACCTCTATGTTGTTGTGAAACTTGTTTGCTGGAAGCTTTGCTTTTATTGTTTGTACTTATTTATGTATTTTCCATGTTAAATTTAAATAAATATATAAATACACATTTACACATAAAACTCTTAGACATTGTATGGGGAACGGGTACATTCATAATTTTATCAATAAAACCTTTAGAGTATTCACATATTGCTGTCCAATCTCTGCAGGTGCTGAAGAGAAAATTTTGGAAGAGTTTAAAGAAACACACAATCCTGACTCTCCAGATTTTCAGCTCCAGGCAATGATCCAGGCTGCTGGCAAGCTAGTACTGATTGACAAGTTGCTGCCAAAATTGAAGGCTGGTGGCCACAGAGTGCTTATCTTTTCCCAGATGGTGCGCTGCTTGGACATACTGGAAGACTACCTCATTCAAAGACGGTGAGAACAACAGTATAATTTAAGTTTAGGAAATAAATTCTAACAATTATTTTATTAAGTATTTAGCCTGTGTTTCACAGACAAGGAATATTTTACAATAAAGTAGAAGACTGCCTAAACAAAATAATACTCATTAATTCTCTTTGTTCAGAGTCATAGTATATAACCTTTTACGTAAGACTTTATGATTTATTTATTTATTTTTCACATTTCTAAACTGCTCATCTCTTTCAAAGAGTGGTGGGAGCTTTGCTAAAAGTGATAATGCTTTTAGAATAAAACATGATTAAAACCATTGTCTATTATATGTACCAGACTCTAATAAAGCTCCATAAAACAGTCGTTAATAATTTTTAGATTTTCAAAAATGTTTTCTTCCTTTATTATTTTTCAATTGGAACAATTTTCAGGCTCTTAATTGTGGGTGACACAGAGCCAATTAATTATATCGTAACATTTTTTCTATAACTTTTTGTAATTTTCAGCAATTTGACATACATTTTTGATACAAGAAATCTTATAACTGCTCTTTCTGCTCACTTATTTCTTACATACTTATGTACTTCCTTTTACAGCTAGAACTGAAATTGAGATGCAAAGTTATGAAAGTTAGTAAGAAGAAAAGATGCATTTTCTGAGAACAATGCTTTCAGTCTTGAATTACTGGCATAGAGGGTGTACCTTATTAATACTGCTTTATTTTTGTAGATATCCTTATGAACGAATAGATGGCAGAGTAAGAGGCAACCTTCGTCAAGCAGCTATTGATAGGTTTTCCAGACCTGATTCTGACAGATTTGTTTTTCTACTATGCACAAGAGCAGGTGGCTTGGGGATTAATCTTACAGCTGCTGATACCTGCATTATTTTTGATTCAGATTGGAATCCTCAGAATGATCTTCAGGTAATATTGGAAAAGGGAGTTGACATATTCTATTTCCCTAGTGCTCCTCTTCCCCCAGAATTTATTGCTCAGATAATACGTTGTGGTTGAACACTTCAAAAAATTTAAAACAACATATTGTTCTAACATTTGTTCATTTTACTACCTATTTTAATCTTGTTTTTTAAAAAATATCTCTCATGTCATATTTTTCCAGGCTCAAGCTCGATGCCACAGGATAGGACAGAGCAAATCTGTGAAGATCTACAGATTAATAACAAGGAATTCTTATGAAAGGGAAATGTTTGACAAAGCAAGCTTAAAACTTGGTCTTGATAAAGCTGTGCTTCAATCCATGAGCGGAAGAGAGAATGCTACAAATGGGGTAAAATATATATGCCCCACTTCTTCCCTTCCCTTCCTTTTTATATTTATAGCTTTAAAAATAGTATAAAGTTTTCTTTGAATAGACCTTGACTTCTGATGATTACACACATATGCCCATGTTGTTTTATCTGCCGTAATACGGCAGTCACACATATTTTTTTTACATTATTTATTCACTTTCTGAGTTTAGTCTACAGCTCTGGGATTTCCTGATTCTCGTCCATCCAAAGATAGATGGAGGGAGGGAGGATGAGAGACAGAGGGTTGGGGGGGGAGAATTTGTTATTTATTGCCATAAAGTATATTCTAAATTTCATTCATTTGTTAACTAGATAAAGTTTTGTTCCCTAGTATCTTTTTTCTTACTATATAATTTATTAATGGTGTGTACTTTATTCATTTCAAAAATAATGGTTATTTTTGAAATTGATAGTCTGTATTTTATTCAAAAAAAGATTTGACAGACCAACTACATAATCCCATCCAAGTATTTCATCTAAATGTTCTAATTAACAAGGAACTAGTACATAAAAATCTGGATATAAAAAGTCTACCCACTCCTGTTAAAATACCAGGTTTTTGCGATGTAACAAATCCAAGATAAACCCTTTAAGAATTATTTCCACCTTTAATATAACATTTAAGCTGTACAAGTCAATTGAAAAACAAGCTGAAATTATTTAGTGCTGAAAAACTAACTAGAATAATGTGCCTGTATAAGTGTCAACACCCTCTTATAAGTTGGGATGTGTCTATGTTCAGAATAATCAATTCAAACTGATGTTAAATAGTAGTACATACTTGCCATCAATTAAAGTAACTCTGATATAAAGTATATATATATATAAAATTCAACTATTCAAGTAGGATTTTTCTGACATTTATGCAGTTGCCTCTTACAGCAAAAGAGGTCAGGTGTCTGCCAGGTGCTACTGCCAGCAGAGGCAAGAGGCGTATTTTTAAGATAGTCAAGAATGCCAGTAAGGATTGTGATGTTGATGCTATTAGACATCTTGGCACAAATTATCTGTCCCAAAAAGATATACTTTCTGTGCAGAATGATTTCCAGAGCTTGGGGTATGAACTTAGTAGTATAGGTTGTAGTCTTATCTTTTCAGAGATTTTACCAGTATATAAGGAACAAAAAGGGAAAGGCCAGCGTGTAGCAGAGTTTAATGGCTAAAGGAATGGTGTAAACGGAAAGACTTTGGTTTTATTACCATATTTTTGGAGTATAAGACACACCTTTTTTCCTCAAAAAAGAGACTGAAAATCTGGGAGCGTCTTATACACTGAATGCAGCATTTTTTGCCTCCTGAAACTCCGCCCCCTTCACCAAAATGGCCATGCATAGTTTGTAGGAAGCTTTCAGAGAGCTCCTGGGGGCTGGAGAGGGCAGAAATGAGCAAAAAAATGGGCTATTTTTTGCTCAATCCCCCCCCCCGAGCACTCTATAAGCTTCCTAAAGGCTATCCATGCCCTTTTTTTTGACAAAAAATGGGCCCGTTTTCATGAAAAACGGGCCATTTGGGGAGGTTCGCAAAGTGCAAAAAAATGTTTTTTAATTTGCTTCTTCAAAACCTTGGTGCGTCTTATACTCTGAAAAATGTGGTAATCACGATGTCTGCAGCTGGTTCAACAAAAAACTGTACCAAAGAGATGGTTTCAATCCATCAAAGAAAGGGACTGAGTTACTTGGCACTAAATTCACAGATTTTCTAGATAATCATTTAAACTGAACAGCGGGGACGGAGAATTAATTGATACAAAATATTTTTGTCCCCAGGAATCTAAAATTAATAGGGTTATCAGTGCATGTAACACAGATGTTTGTGTGGGTAAGATGATCAACCTTGCTGTCAAGCAAAACCAAGCATTTAATAGTGAGTGCCATGCCAAAGTAAGTAAGAAAGTAAGGCCAATCAGGCACAACACAAGTTATGTAAACAGTAAACACAGGGGCAATCAAAATGGACAAATGTCTATATACCAATGCACAAAGGATGAGGAATAAACGGAGAATTAGAAATTCAAATAAAGAGGGCAGATATGATACTGTTGCCATTATGGAAACTTGGTGGGATGAAACCCCGCAAATGGACTATAGAGCTAGAGGGTTTTAAATTATTTAAAAGAAATAGACCAAATAAAAGAGGAAATGGAGTTGCACTACACATAAGAAATAACTACATCTCTACAGAAATAGAGCACAACAATGACAAAAATTATCTTGAATGCATTTGGGTCAATATTAAAGGGGGGGAAATGACATTGCCATAGTATACTACAGGCCACCCAACCAAGCCGAGGAAGTAGATGAACTTTTTGCTAGTCAGCTAACTAAGGTATGTAGGAAGCAGACAACAATAATAATGGGGGATTATAACACCCTGACATCAACTGGGAAACAAACTGCATTCAAGATAATTTTTGTCATTGTTGTGCTCTATTTCTGTAGAGATGTAGTTATTTCTTAAGCATAGTGCAACTCCACCTCCTCTTTTATTTGGTCTATTTCTTTTAAATAATTTAAAACCCTCTAGCTCTATAGTCCATTTGCGGGGTTTCATCCCACCAAGTTTCCATAATGGCAACAGTATCATATCTGCCCTCTTTATTTGAATTTCTAATTCTCCGTTTATTCCT